CCTACTCCATTCGTGGGTGCGAGCTTTGTACTGAAACAAAGCTTGGAAGGTCTTGTTGCAGACCTTTCGGCCTGCACAGTGCTTGTACCCAGACCACCAGGAGCCGGGAATTAAATATCCTCAGATCCACTTGTCTGCCATTAACGTTATCAGCTTCATCAAGTGCTTCCTCCTCCAGTGGTGTCTGCAGAGAAGTAAATAAATCAACTCTTCCACATCTTGTTCCTGCCCAGGATCCAAAGTCTGAAGTCCACTCTGAGTTGAATTATCTGGGGCACTGTCTCCCTCCTTCATTGTTCCCAAAGATCTGGGCAGGAACAGAGAGTGAAATCTCCCCAGGACATTACATCAGTTCCCCTTTTCCCCTTGGCATGAAAGTGCTTCCGCTCAGAGCCCTCCCTGACTTCCTAAGGCTTGTAAGGTTTGCCCCAACTACACACCCACACCCCAGCCTTGAAGCCAAGACATCAAAGGGAGCCTGCAGGTAACCAGATTATTGACCAACGCCTGTGTCTGTTTTGTAATTTAGAAGACAGGAAATGGATTCCGGAGATGGGATATTTTTCTAGTACATGGCCTTCATGATCCTCAATAGTCTTTTAAGTGAAGAGGGGCATCTTTTAAGCAAAGAGTGACATTTAGAAAATATTTGAAACTCAGAATGACACTGTCCCGAGTAATTACTTTCCAGTGACCTTGCACTGACAAATAAAAAGGAATCACAGTAAATTTGTCTTTATGGGCGGCAGAATTTAGGTCCATTTTAGCTACAAAAAGAACAGTCAGTGCCCAAGAAGGAATATGAGGCAAATGGCGTGTGCCTTTCCAACCTCCATCTAGGCAAGATAGATCAGGACTTCAAAAAGAAACCCTTAGGTAGACACAATAGCTCATGCCTATAATCCTAGCACCTGAGAGGCTGAAGCAAGATGATTGCTTGAGTCGGGATTGCTACAATGTAAGACTCTGTCTCAGAAAAGAAAAGAACAAAGAATACTTTTCTAATAGGAACTATCCATCCCCTATAGAGAAATAGAGAGGACTATTTAAGGAAGTACCACGTGCCCACTAGCACTCTGAAGACCCTGTCACCACCAAACTGTTTCCACCATATCCCACCTGGCTCTTTTCACCTCCCATGAGTATTGTTTCATCCGTAAGTACTTCTGGGTAGGCCTAGGAAGATAATGGCAGCTTACAAAATGAGAACCACAGAAGCCAGTGTTTCCTCTCAACACCAATAGCTCCTCTGCTCCTGGTTTCAGTGGTCACCTGCTGGAGAAGGTTGTATCCAGTGTGAAGCAGAATCTTAGAAAGGGCCTCAAGGTGGCAGGTGCTTGGTGGATCTCCCCCTCCCTCTTTAAAAGCAAGTAGTCATAACTGAACAACCGCATAACACATGTTGGCTTTCTTTGACTGTCCCTTTGAAGAGGCTTGGATCCCAAGTTTAGATTTGGGTTAGTTTGGTGGTAGTGATGGTGGTTGGTTGGTTGTTTTCTGTTTTTCCAGATTTTGGAGTGTTTACTTCTGGTGAGACAGGTTGGTGATAAGACCCAAGTCTAAACATGAAATCTCTTTGTATTTCATACACAGGCTACACGTGCACCCTGCAGGAAATCCGACGGAATGTTTTTCAGTTGTTTTGTTGATGAGACAAATGTCACAGGGTGGCATTTTCCACTGGTGGCATTATATAGACACACTCAGCAAGTTTCAGATCCTGGGGAGATTTTCAATGAACAATTATTATGTTTATTCTGATATTCCCTCCCACCTACCCCCATACCACCTTCAAGATTCATACCCTCCCACCTACCCCCATACCACCTTCAAGATTCATACCCCACACACTCTGATTTTTTTTGAGACAAGTTCTCACTAACTATGTAACCCAGGCTGGTCTTAAATTTGCCATATAATCCAACCTGGCCTGAAGCTCCTGACAGTCCTCCTGTCTCAGCCTCCCCAATACTAAAATTACAGGCTTATACCACACCCAGCCCAAGACTGCCCTTGACTTACGAATTTAAGCAGGCTTGCTGTCAAGTGCCTGTGTGCCGTTTCCATTGTGCGTAACCTGCTTGGGTTTGCTGAGCTTCTGGAATTTTCTAGTTTTTGTTGATACTGTGGCTCTAGTTTCTTGGCCATTATTTCTTCCCGTTCTGCTCCCACCATTCCTTGTGCACTTTAGGCATATTTGACTAGCTGAGGTCATAATTTGTAATTTCCTCTCTTATCTCCAATATCCTCTTAAGTCTGTCCAGCCGACTCTTTCATTTAGTATCTTGTACTCCTTGGTTCTAGAATCTTCATTTTTGTTTTCTAAGTTTCTGTTTTGGCAGTTCCTGTATGTAATCACTTACTGTGACTGTGATGTCCCCGAAATGCTAATGGCTGCTTTAAATGTCTTTAAGGTCTCTTTAGCTAATCCATCAATATCGCAGAATGTTTCTGTTGGTGGCCTTCTAATAATAAGTCACATCTTCTGTGTCTAGAAGAGCTGTGTTGATGCTGATCGTCACAGTTAACATGTTGAGGAGACTTAGGATTGTGTTATAGTCCTGTGAAGAATGTTGACCCTTATGCTTGCCGACAGTTCAACTATGAGCCAGTCGCTTCTAGTGTGTCGCACTTGGTTTACGTTTTTCTGGGGCAAATCTGTCTCAGCTTTGCCTTTAGCCCTCAGCAAGGACCCTTTGTAGTGTAACACAGGACTTACTATACTAACATGTGGCCATGCTGGGGTAATGGACAGCCTGGAGTGTTGATAGAGCCTTTTAACTTAGTGAGTCTCAAGCTCTGACCTGTTTCTATACTACAGTGGCCAAGAGCTGAGACTTCTGTTCGTAAGTAGGTGCAGGGCAACAACCCCTGCTTTCGAGTCTCCCCGGTGTGTATATTGTTCAGGAGTCAGACAAGAATGTGAGAGCACTTTAGCATGCTGTTTTAGGACTTCTCTCTGGTATGCTGCCCTTGATGAGGCTTCTGCAAGTTTTTCCATTGTTGGCACCTCCTTGCGTCCTGACAGCTCACATGAGATCTTTTCATCTTCCAACTGCCTTGTACGGTCACTGATGAGGGGACTCTTGGGGAAGGGGAAAGGCTCTGTGTGTGTGTGTGTGTGTGTGTGTGTGTGTGTGTGTGTGTGTATACATACATATATACATATATACACACATACATACACATAGATTAGATAGATAGATAGATAGATAGATAGATAGATAGATAGATAGATGGGTGGGTAGATAGATAGATAGATAGATGATAGATAGATAGATAGATGAGCTTGTTCAAGGAAGGTCCCACATTTTAAGAGTAAAGTCCCTTTTGTTTTCATTTGTTTGGGGTCATTGTCCAATATCTTTATATGGATTTTTTTATTTATTTTTTTTTAGTTTATTGTATCCGGTTTGTATAAAGTCCACCTGTAGGAAGTTTGGGTTAAGAAGGCCACTTTACCGTTATTGAAACTGGATCTCCTTCTTCTCTTGTTTGAATGGTGGCTGGTTTTAAATTGTTTGCTGTTCCTTTCATATCTGACCATATTGCCTAAATACCAATCCTCAGCCAAACACTGAGATATCTTTCATTCCTTTTTCTAGTTGATTAGTACTCTTACCATTTAGTGGTCTAGATTAGTAAACAAATGTCCTAGAATACCTGTCCCAGCGAGGAGGATTTTTGAATCTGTGTCATCAGATCATAAAATAGCTGGGAAACAGGCATTCCCTTTCTGTGAGTCTTGCATGCTGTAGTCACTCTATCTTTTGTTCAGTGCCTCCAGTGATGAGGGAGAACTAGTAGAATTTTTAAAACTTACAAAAAAAAATCTCCATTTTCATGCTGACCTAATATATGGACCTTCTGTGAACCCCACCTCTTTCTCTGGCCCTGGTGGAGTCCCGTTTCACTTTCTTGGGGTTTTTCACATAGACAAAGGTGATGTCTTTGACATTGTTTTAACACTCAGAACTATGGGTAAGTTTGTGGCCAGAATAAGAATCAGCAAAAGTGCTCATTTTCCTGCTGAAACTGCCTCAGAAACACCCGTGGCCAGCGTGCCCCATGCAGATAGATGTCTACGAGTTAAGTATTGCACATATATTTCTATGGGCAGATACCTGGCCTGAGCTTCTGCAGGGAACCCAGATCACCCGGGAGTTGGTCCGTCCTCAGCCCAGCCTGCAGCTACTTCAGCTCTGGTGTTGTCCTCAGCAGTGTGTAAATCCAAGTGTGAGGAGGAGGAGGAGCATGCGTTGTTGGGGTGCCCGTGTCCCCGTCCTTCCTGAGTTCACGGTGATCTGTACACTCAGCGACACACTTCTAAAAGCGCCACCAAGTACAGAATCACCACTCTATAAAAACAGCCGTCGTTGCTGCCGAGGGCCCGTTTCTGTATATGATTTTTGTCCCCTGGGGTCTGTGTGACAAGTACCATAATACTTGCAGATTTTAGAGTCTTAATTCTGATTCTTTACCCATTGGCCGTGTGGTATGGGGAAGTTGTCTGTGGTTCACTTTTGTAATCTGTGAAATGGGTATACAGTGTATTTCCCTCCTAAGAATGATCGAAGTTTTAAATAATAAAACCCAGGTTGTAGAATAGAGTTATCACTAATCGTCATCACTAACAGCCATAACAAGGAGAAAATGAAAACTTAAGCTCACCAGAACATCTGGAGAGAAACCCCCCAAAACACCTCACCTCTGAAACCCGCACAGAGGAGGAGTCAATTGAGGAGGAGACAGAGAAGGGCATTAGATGCCTTGTGTTTTTCAGGCTCTGACAGATGCCAGATAGAATGTTGGTGTACGTTCCTAGCTTGTCCCGGGGTAGGAAAGCGATTTCAAGTGTGTGCTCTGGAGTTTTGTTTGAGCAAAAGGATCTGGGTTGAGAGAGGCTCTGTGGTTCAGTACAGCTGCCTACAGAGCAATGGTGAGGTCATGGGGCTGCAGACTCACAGTGGTCTGTGATTGTCTTTTCTTTTGCCCCACAGATAACTGTGTCCAGAGGACACCCAGGACGCCGGCGGAGAGTGTGCACCACAACCCTCCCACCATTGAACTCTTACATCGCCCTAGGTCACCTATCACCACAAACCACAGGCCTTCTCCCGACCCCGAGCAGCAGCGGCCCCTGCGGTCCCCCCTGGACAACATGATCCGCCGCCTCTCGCCAGCGGAGAGAGCCCAGGGACCAAGGCTACAGCAGGAAAACAACCACCAGGAATCCTACCCCCTGTCAGTGTCTCCTATGGAGAATAATCACTGCCCACCGTCCTCGGAGTCGAACCCGAAGCCCTCGAGCCCCTGGCAGGAGAGCACACGAGTGATCCAGCTGATGCCCAGCCCCATCATGCACCCCTTGATCCTGAACCCCCGGCACTCGGTAGACTTCAAACAGTCCCGGCTCTCTGAAGACGGGCTGCACCGGGAAGGGAAGCCCATCAACCTGTCTCATCGGGAGGACCTGGCTTACATGAACCACATCATGGTCTCTGTATCCCCGCCTGAGGAGCATGCCATGCCCATTGGGAGAATAGCAGGTAAGTGCGTTCAGCCCTCTCACGGCCCCTCACAGCAGTAGCCAATCAGGTGGGCACACACACACTGGCAGTGTTACATGCCTGCAAAGGTTTGGAGAGGACAAGGGGAAGCTTCTGCCTGCATGAGACAGAGTCCCTAATGGCCTGGTTAATGAGCCACTAGGAGAGAGTAGTTAATGAGCCTCAGAAATGTTAAGGAATGAATGTCCTCCATCCAGATCACAAGGAGAGCTGCCTCCGAATCACGGCTAAGGGAAAACATTTAAAATCAAGGGTTTATGAAGTGCTCTAATGGGCCCAGCCTCAAGTTTCCAGGTGCTAATTAATGACCAGACACAGCCTAGAAGAACCTTTGTCTCAGATTCATGCCTGTTATTCTGTCCTGTGGACAGTAACTCAATGCCGCTTTCCCCTTGGGAGAGAGGGCAGAATTGGGATTAGGGTGTTAGAAAGCTGGTGTTGCTATGTCATTTAGACAGGAAAAAAAACCCACTCCCAAACTCTTCTTTGAATTATGACGGAAGGCTCAAATGTGCTCTCCTAACAAGAAACCAAGGAGGGAGGGAGGGAGGGTAAGAATCTACCAATTAAAACTTTGCTAGCCTGCCCAGAATTTACATGGAATTCTCAAGAAGGCAGTATACACCGTTTGTCTTTACCTCGAGAGTGTCTCTCCATTCATGAGACATCCATGGGGCACCTGCGATGTACAGATAAATGCATCCAATAAATGCATCCGATGTGCTGTATACAGTGGTGATTTGACATCCAGCATCCTCTCCCTTGTAGAACTGAGATTTTACAGGGAGAAGCACATGTGAACACCATTAAGATACAGAGCGGATGATGGAAGTTTCCCTCTTACCCGGGCAGTGTACAGGTGTCCACTGAGAGCCTTCTGTGAGGCAGAAGCTGTGTTTGGATTGGAGGAGCCTGAAGGCTTCACAAGGGCTGAGGAAATGTGAAGCAAATGGCTGTGCTTCCCTTGGTGGGAAGAGAGCCAGAGTTAGGGCAGAGCCCCCTGCAGGTGATGGGGGTAAAGGGATCTTCTTCCTAGCTGGTACTGCTGCATGTATCAGTTCCCAACAGAAGGCCTGCTTCACCTCTGCCTTGACTTCTTGTCTCTTCTGTTCAGGTCATTTGTTTCTGGTTGTTTGTCTTCCCTGAGTACACCTCCGCCATTGCCTCTGTTTTATTGCTATAAATAATTTACATGGAGGATGTTGAATTAAGAGAATAAAATGGAGAGACTGGGGAGATAGCACAGTCAGTAACACACGCTGTTTAGGCCACAGACCCCAGGTGTTGTGGCATTCACTTGTAATCCCAGTGCTAGGGGACAGAGATGTACTTCCCTGGGACTTGCTGGCCAACAAACCTAGCCTACTTGGCCAGTTCCAGACCAGTGAGAGACTGAGTCTATCTCAAAAGAAAAAGTAGATAGCACCCTACCTGTGGAATGAAACCCAAAGCTGTTCTTTGTCCTCTACATACACACACACACACACACACACACACACAGAGAGAGAGAGAGAGAGACAGAGACAGAGACAGACAGAGAGAGAGAGAGAGAGAGAGAGAGAGAGAGACAGAGACAGAGACAGAGACAGAGAGAGAGAGAGATCAAAAGAAAATGAGTACTAAAATCGTGGCTTAGTGGTAGAATGCTTGCCTAGTATGCATAAAGCCCTGAGGTTTGATGGTCGGAACCATAACAACAACAGTAAAACAGCAACTATCTATGGCTTGCATGTTTTAAAAAGCTGTGCACCTTGGAGTGTGCTTGGGATTCAATTCAAAACAGTCCTGCAGGTTTAGTGATAGGGAGGACTGGGCTCTGTAGTAAAATGGGGTTAGCCATGAGGTGTCTGGTGATTATGTGGGTGAGCAGATGCGTGGTGGTTCATACTGTTGTTCTACTTACACATGAGATTTGCTTTAATAACGAAGACACTGCAGGATGAGTGTCGGGGCAAAAACAGGAAAAGTCTTACAGAAATATCTGAATTTCCTCAGACAACTGGAAGAAAAGGGATGGGTGAGAACTTCTGAGTGATGGAAGCGTCCTCAGCTACACACCGTCTTGGTCCTTCCTCTATGTGGTGTTTTCAGATCCTATTCCTTGTCTATAATTCTCAGGACAGCCCTCTGAGATTGAATCCCTGTGATGTGCATGGGTCATTTGTACAGGCAAACCACAAGGGAGACCCAGCTCTGAGGACACCAAGGTTCCCCTCAAGGTCAGAGGAGGGTTCAACGACCTTGCTGTCACTTGGCTGTTATCTGCAGTACTGCCTGCCCTTGAGGGTATAGCTTCCCTCCTTGTCAAGGTCCTCCATGTCCGCCCTCATTTCACCACAGACTTCTTGAGAGTATTGAGATAAGCATATACGTCCAGAGGGAGCGTATACGTCATATACGGATGAGAGAACGGGAAGGGGGTAGGAGAAGGAGGAGGCCTGAAGGAATTGCTTAAACATACAGTGCTATCCTCCCCTTGTAAGTTGCACATCTGTTTCATTGATTCTACCGCTACTTTTAAAACCATATACCCAAACATCAGCAGTGGATGGAGGAGGCTCAACAGTTCAGATGCAGCTGGACATAAATATCATATTAAGCAATTTTAGTCAATCTCACTAAGGCAAATTATCACATTTATCCCTCATTGGTGGGTCTTAGATTTTATGTAGACACTTAAGGTCATACAGGTACAGGTATGAAAATACAAGAAACTGTAGGGTAACAAAGGAAATGAACAGGAAGGGAGAGGGAAAGAAAAGGGAAGTACGTAGTATGGCAGACTGCTCAAGCACACTTTATGCTTACATGAAAGTGGCCTTATGTAACCTGGTGTCACACAAATACAGAAAGCCTCATGGGATGTTCGGTCAGTCCAGATGAGCCTGGGTATCCACAGATGCCTTGTCTTGAAAACACTTAGAAAGAGCTAGTGTTTGCTTTTCCTTGCCTCTAATAAGGCAGAATGTTCTAGAACATTATCCTGGGGTTCAATCCTCTGGGGACAATGCATTCATTCCTACAGGATGATTGAGTCCCATACAGATACATATTAATGTTCTTATGATCTTTGTAAATGTTGTGAAATCTCTAAATATATACATTACCTAATGTACCCAAATTCCAGATGAGCCAATTTAACTGGCAAGCATTGCTCTTCGCAGGGGTGAAATGCCAGGGTCAGGCTGGGTGATCGCTGAGGTCCCTTCCTGCTCTGCAGGTCCACAGTCTGACAGTGAGTCTTGATTCAACAGCCCTCTGCACGCTCCTTTTGCCCCTCCTTTGGAGGACTCTCTACTCCTCCCTCCCCCAACCCTCTGTCTTTCTGGGTTTCTAAGCTCTTAGGAAAAGTGATTCTGTTTGTTGAAGGTCAAATTCTGTGAGTCACTGCCGTTTATACTGTAAGGTTCTGTCTAGTGAGCAGCCATGGATGCTTTTAAAGCTCTGCAAAGCGCCTGTTAGATGAGAAACCGTAGTTCCCTGAAGCCCTTTAATTGAGCGCAGGAAGAAATGAAAGTGCCGCCAAATGTCACACTGGTGAGTAACTTCGTTGGAGGGTGTAGACAGAAACTGTTTACCAATGTGGAGGAAAACACAAGCCCAGATTCTTGCCATTCACAGGTGATTGGCCTGGGTATCAGAGGATTTAGGTGTTCCGACACCTAGGAGGATTCTGCACTGCATTCTTGCAGGATGGAGGTTTACAAAGGCATAAGACTCGATATTTGGCATGAAAGAGCTGAGGTTCTCTATAAAAGTAAAGCACACGGTGTACATTTGTCTTACGACTCCTACTAAGTACCACAGGAGGTCAGAGCTGCCTTTCAGATGGACTTAAAAGAATGCTTAAGGATCAGGGTATGGGGAATCTGCCTTTAATCCCAGCATTTGGGAGGCAGAGGCAGGCAGATCTCTGTGGGTTCAAGGCCAGCCTGTTGTAGGGAATGAGACCTTGTCTCGAAATAAAAAAATTTTTTAATTATTTTTATTTTATGTACTTTGAAATTTGCCTGAATGTGTGGTGTCTGTGTGATGGTGTCTGGTCCCCAGGAACTGGTGTTTATAGACAGTTATGAGCCACCTGTGGGTGCTGGTATTTGAACCAGGTCAAATGCAGAGCATTTGGCAGAGCAGATGGTCCTCTTAGCCACTGAGCCATCTCTCCAGCCCCAAAATAAAAATTTTTAATAAATAAATAAAAATAATTTTTGGAATTTAGGGAGTAAAGAAAAAGAAGCCATTCGAGATAGGGAAACTCAGGCGCAAACACAAGCTATAAAGACCCAAATGTTCTTTTCTATTTCTAGTAGAGATACAAGGCCAAGAGCTTGTCTATCCAAGTCAACTAAAGAAACTTATTTTTCATAAATTCTTCTTTTCTCATCTCTGAAAAAAAAACCTGATGAATCATGCAAATAAAAGATCACATAAACTATGGCAATTTACCTTTGGTATTAACCATATGAGAAAACTAATTTAATAAGAAAATTCAGTAAGTAGTTAGCAGTTTAAATACAGATTAAATACAAGTTAAGTCTATTTAAATATAACATGTTTTAATTTTACTTTGCAAATTAGAAGAGGTCTTGGAGATTGCTCTCTGGATAAGCACTCAGGCTGTTTGTGTTGGAGTCCTTTCTTAGGACTAGGTGAGTTCACTAGACACAACTTTTACAGGTAAAGGAACTTCGACTCACCTGCATCAGACATACAGCCTCAAGCCTGTGTTCGCCTCCCATCCCAAGTACTTCTACCCAGAGACTTCTCAGTGAGGACTGGAAGCCGCAGGCATGTGCAGCCACCACCTGATTCTGTAAATGAGTTTATTGGAGAAAGCCAGGCTTGTATTACATTATTGTCTACATCTGCTTTCAAACCATGAATACAGTTGAGTCACTCCAGAAAACCTATGGCCACAATGTCTTAAATATTTACCAATTGGCCTTGTACATAAACAGTAGGGTGCCCCGTGTTCCCCA